GCTTCGATGTTGGCAGGGTCTGGTCAGCGACCGTTCTTATCTAAGATAAAACCAAGGTATTTGATCGAATGCATGAAGAAGATACATTTTTCCTCACGTAGTTGGAAACCATACTCCAACACTCGGTTAAGGACTTGATTTAGTCGATCAGAAAGTTTACTGTCAGTTGAACCCATAACTATGATATCATCTAGATAAGCTGCTGTACCAGGTATACCTGTTAGCATCGTATCCATTATTTGCTGAAATATGGCGGGTGCGGTCTTGATGCCAAATGGTAGACGGGTGTATTGAAATAACCCTCGATGAGTGTTAATGGTCAGAAGCTCTCTACTATCTTCATCTACTTCCACTTGGAGATAAGCATCAGAGAAGTCTATTTTCGCGAAGCATGTCCCACCATTAAGCTTGGCAAACAGGTCTTCAGGAACTGGTAATGGATATTGATATATATCTAATGCAGCATTTAAACCAGTCGAGAAATCTGTACATATGCGTATAGTCCCATTGGCTGTCTTAATCACTACGATCGGTGCGGCCCATGCAGAGTAGTTAACTGGTCGGATTACACCAGCCTGTTGCAAGCGATTAAGTTCCTGGTCGACTAGCTCAAGAGCAGCATATGGTACAGGACGTCTCGGGCGAAAAATAGGTATGGCATCTGGCTTCACTGGTAAGTGCGCTTTCATCTTGGTACAATGGCCAAGGCTATTCTGAAAAACAGAGGCAAACTTTCTTTTCAGTTTTTCTAGTAACCTTTCACCTGTCTTCTTTGGAAGTAATGGGGTGTCCAATGATGAACATGATATGTTACAGACACTGTTAATTGGTATATCCATTATTCCAAGTTTGTCTAGCATATCAAGACCAAGAAGATCAAGGCTCGGCCGTTCTGTTAGGTAACATATTCCTGTACAGTTAGTTCCATTGAAGGAAAATTCACACTGTAATTCACCAACCAGTTTTAGCACACCACCTGATGCGTTTTTAGCCGTTTTCTTAGATGGCTTCATTGGCGGTTTACCCAGCAAGTTATACGTTTCTCTAGACACTAACGTGATATCTGATGCCGTGTCAATTTGAAGACGAGCTGATATGCCGTTTATCTGGATGGTAACATACTTTCTCTGAATATCATAGTTTGTTTGAAAGGCAGCTACCAAAGAAAGATTTGGACTCGGCTGATTTCACATGTCGAGGACGTTTATGCTTCTTCTTAGGCTGAGACGTACGCTTCGGTGGACAATGACTTTCTTTATGTCCACGTTTGTTGCACGCCTGACATTTATGCTTCTTGAACGGACAGAATCGTGCATAATGCCAATCACCGCATAACCAGCATGCAGTCCTTGGTTTGTTACGAGTTGTTACCGGCTTCTGAACTTTTAACCTAGTAATAGCATTGACACTACCGCAGGTTAGATTAGGATTTACCTGTTCAATCAACTCGTTGTCGTGTCTGATGATTTGTAGACGCTTACACTCATCTGTCAATGTTCTGAGTGTGACGTTTGGGTCTTGATCCAGTCGAGCTAAAAGTCTAGTCCTGATCTCAGCATCTTGTGGTGACTGAAGAGCTTTGATGAATATTAAGCATTTAAAATGGTCATCAATCAACGAGCGTAACTTGAAACGTTCACATTCTCTGTTGACAATGTCTGCTAGAACACCATATTCATCAGCTTTGCGTTTCACCAAATTTAGACACCGATATCGAATACTAAACAACGAGGATGACTCGCCGAATATCTCTGACAACTGAAATACCGTCTCCTCGAAACTGAGCTCTCGAGGTAACTTTGGCAATATATGGTCAGCAAAACGTGCATGTTCATTGCTTCCCAACTTACGTACCAACAATTGGGTCTTCCACGCATCGTCTTGGCTACAGAATTCTGTTCTAAATGTATCTTCCCAACGTTTGAACCACATGAGAAAAGTATTTCCACTTTCGGGATCATAGATGAATTCTGGGATGCTGCTAGCAACTCCATCACAAGACGTACTTGAAATAGCATGTGAACTCGAGCTGTGGATGTTGAGCTGTTGAGTCAGAGTCTCCAACAACCGCATTTGTGCATCAAGTTGTGCTTTAATCTGGTCTATGTCCCGCTAACACTTCCTGAAGCTGCAATTCAATGGAGATGTAGCTGGTGATGTACTATGTGATATAAACTGACTAGAGCAGTGAAGAGAATGTTTAATGCAGCCAACCTCTGTCTATCGTACACGACCCGATCTATGGTGATTCCTCAACTGAAGGATAAGTTACCTGGTTATGCCACTTCTATGTGTATCTACGAACTCAGCTGCTCCTCTGGAGAAAGCTAGATTGGGCGCACACTACCAGACAAATGAGCCATAGATTTAGTGAACACCTCCCTTCGCGGTTAGGAACAGGTATTGTCAAGGCAATACGCAGCTCGGTTCTATCACATTTGATCGATAGCGGTTATGTAGTAGACAGTAATAAGTCACTTAAAGTTATTTATCGTACTCCCACTAGTTTTCCTTATGGAGTTCGACATCGTCTCCTGCACATAGCAGAAGCTATAGGAATCCGAGCCAACAATCCAAGTCTTTGTGTTCATAAAGAATCTGTAACACCCTTATCTCTCCCTTGGCCTTAATAAATGATTTTATTTATTATTATTTTCCATACTCTTTCTTCGTTTATTTTTCTTCACCCCCTCCTACCATTTTCTTTTTTTCTCAAATATACAGTTTCACGGTCCAATTAACTGAACACTTCTTATTACGTAATCTTATAATCTTTATGAATGTTATTTCGGTGTCTATGTTTTTCTAATCATTGACCTACTTCCTGTTATTGTAACATTGATTTAAGCTTTTATTATTCTTATCACACCTGTCATCACACTACCAATTTGTACTTTTCACTTATTATGTTTATTTATGTAATCTATTCCACCGTTATCATTGACTCATAAACTTCCTTGATTGGTTTAATAACTTCGTATATGCATATAAATGCTCTTGTATATTACAGTAAAGCCTGATGAAGATCTAATCGAAAACAATATTGTTCTAAATCACAAAATGGGAATTTTTCAGAAATTAATAAATAACGGTAATAGTATGGTGTATGCTACTCATGTTGACAGACATAACTAGTATTTAACAACAGTCAAAAGTTGAATGTCTGGCAGCAGAAGGCTAAGAAGATCGAATTGTGAGTTGGAAGAATCATACAGAATGTAAGGCACAACTGGTGGGAAATTTGCAATTGAAATATTATAAGTATGGTTTTCACAATTTGCCAAAAAACTCTGTAAATATGGTTATCCCAAACCAAGTCTCCATCACTACAATAGTAGTAATAACAACGACTAAAAGTACTATTCAATATTGATTATTATATAGCTTCAGTAAAATGGATATCATCGATAATGTTAACTCGATTATCGTCATGCGACTATATTGTACAGTGACTGAAGTTGTAAATGTTATCGTGTCAAATGAGTAATCTATGAAATTGAAATTACATGTTACACCATAGAATAAAGCATAATATCCACTCCGCAACTCAGTAATGCTAATTAATAGAATAGACTCGACCATAGATTTAAATGACGGAGTGGTGAATGTTTCTTGTTGAAAATGTATGACCGACTGCTTTATAACAAGCGCTTCATAATTTCCAGTCCTGTACATGACTACTAAAAGGTTATACGATAAAGGCTTCACAAAAAGTATACCGGTATAAATTGTCACAATTTACAATGGTACAGATGGAGGAAGTCACAATAATAGACTTAATGAAAATAAATAAATAAATGTGAGTGTAACATTTGATTCATAGTGTTCACACGAGATCATCATCATTTTAATCGACAACCAAGTGTACTGTAGTGGTTACTATACGATCACTAATGTATCTAAATCTCGGGGAATAATGGGCTATATTCTGAGGTATAATATTAATTTCATGGACTGTTGATATAAGGAAAATGTCTTAATGATTGACATCTGAATATTTGATAAAAACTTTTATGTAACATTAAAGCAACTGAAGATTCGATAAAGAAATTTTAGAGCAAGTCAAGATAAATATTTAGACCCAAGTTTATTTACTTGAACCCAGATACCCTTGTACGGCCCAGGGTGTGGGGAGTCGGCTCTCCCTGTCGAAATGCTCTAGCATATACAGCCACTGTCAGGGAAGCCATACTCACTACCTTCTCGTGGTGGGGTGTTGTCTAAGAACTGAGAGAACGAAAAGCGAATATCTTGCGCCTTAACCAGTTTGGTGAATGTGCAGGATTCACGTGAGATAGCTGGAAAACCCTGGTTCCAAACCAATAGTGCACATGGGTTCCAGGATCCTCAGGGAGCAAAAGACGTACGGACCTATTGTTTGTCACCGGATATCATGGGACTGCATCTCTTAACGTTGCTCCACTGCCATGTGGATTAGACCTCTAGACTAAATGATCGGAGGGTAGCCCTCTAAGAAAATCATCTGTGTTCAGTTCGGGTGCACGGGTAGTATTCCAGCCCTCGCACAAATCGAATGACGATGTGTGGCGCATATATATTTGGTGCCTCCTTGTACCAATGTTTATGTGTTTAAATAAATAAATAAAATAGTAGACAAGTATAACCGACAAAAAAGTCATATGTTATAACACAAATGACAAAGACAATTCAACCAAACAGCGTCCTTCAGAAACCCTCAAGAGAACTCTAGAAAAAGACAGATTGTGATGCCAGTATTTGACTCGACACAAATATGAATTTGTGTATCGATCTTAGCATGTGTTACAGAAGCTTTTAAAAGCTCAACTTCACGTATAATAATGTGATTAACCTTGTTTTTTAACATGAACTGGTCTTGGAAGTAAATGCTCACGAGTAAGAGACTTATGAAGACTAGAAAGAGGTTAGAAAGTCAGTATTTAAGCGTTTGAATACAAAATATATCGCTTTACAAAAAAATATATTATGAAACAAAAGATTAGTGAAATGATATAACTTACTAACAAGAGAATAAGCTATGACTTCTTGGTTTTACAACAACTGTCATACTCTCGAGAGTTTTTGGTGAACTATTATTAGGAAAAGATACAGTAGAATATGAATTATCCGGCAGGATGAAACGTTCAGATGGTATTTCTTGAACACTAACAAGCATCTGAAAAAAAAGAAAACATATAAGGTTCAACATCAATGACGTTTTATTTAGTAAACCGACTGGAGCCATACTGAGAGATTGACAGTTATATTTTGAGCAAGTATTTTCATGATATATTTAGTCTGTGAAATTTCCATATTATTCTAATTACAGGTAGCCATTTGACTTGTTTACAGATGTAACATATTTTACCGTTCATAAATTATCACGAATTAATCACAGACAAATTATTCAGATTTGTACCATAAATATCTCTCGTTATGCACCTACACACTGAGGCTTATCACTTATGATTGAATTATAGTCTTATGTTTCTCGTGAATACAATCACGTGAGTTTTCAAGTCACAATAGTACAAAATAGTGCAAAGTCCTGAATATTCTGATTATTTTTTAAAGAAACAAGTGAGAATTTTGTCCGTGCAGATGAATCGTTCAGTGTAAATATATTAATCACGTTATCGGACTCACAGCCATGGACCATAAACATACAGAAAATTTGTGATAAATAAGAAAGAAAAAACAAGCACAGACGCAGAGCAGCGCTCTATTTAGTGGTAGAATTATATACTTCCAGCCATAACTGTTGGGGATGTTAGATCCCCAGAAATCATTTGGTAAACGTCTTGTTTCATGCAATATTTGTTCTGGCTTTATTTAAACATCTTATTTTCGAAATTTTGTTTTGGAAATTAGAATTTCTCGTTTTCGCAACAAAAGCGCCTACTTTTATCTTCAGTTTGTATTTCTCACTTGGGAGGACCTTAAATGTCATTGGTTCGTTTCCTCTTTTAGTACGCTATTATGTGACGTTTTCCAATAACATTTTTGTACTGCATATACATACGTATGAGTTGTGTGCTTGTTCGTTCGTGCTTCCGACTGCTTGCCGAATATACTTTTCCCTTGGTTGAGTCATGTCTTCTCCGTCTAGTTACCAGGATAGAGCCCCAATTATCGTATGATCCTGTAAGAAGGCCCCTGTAGGAATACACTGATTAGTTCATTTTTGATCAACTACATGTTAGTGGACGAATAGAAGAAATGCTAGATTCTGTATTAGCTATGTTTACACAACATTATCTTTGCTTTTTAGATTATTGAAAAATATATATTGTTCACTTTTAACTCCTGTTCTGATTTGACAAGTATCAAGTGAACCAGAGTTTAATGGATATTAAACAAAGGAATAATATAACTGATTGACGGAAGTTTGTATCATTCATAGTTTTCAGTTAGTTGCCTTTAATCGTCTTAACATTAATAGTTAGCCAATCTGTATGCTAGGCATAAACAGTATAGGACTACCTGCGGAAAAAGGTTTATTAGCTTACATTCTTATAGGACATTACTAGTATAATAAAATGAATCCCAAACGATATGAATTAATAGTGTTATTAAAAATACTAAAAAAAGGACTAAATATAGAGTGTATGGTTCAAAAAAGAGTGGATCGACTAAGTAAATTGATACAAATGAAAATAAGGTCAATACAAACCATGTATAAAGAATAAACTTTATACAACTATGTATGTGTAATTATTGTGATTGCAATAGTTAAGCCAGGTTTACCCTTTAGGCATATCGAACAACATATTGTATACGAATTCTGAAATCTGACATGATTATGCACTTGTCGTTATACTCACATAATTCTACATAAATAAAAAAATCAGTTCTGTAAGTAACCCCTAGTACTATACTCAGAAGAATTTTACTCCTCCCTCCTCCTAGATATTGATCCAGGTAAAACACTACTAATTATTAGCAATGAATTAATTGAATCATATTGAATGAGGAGTTCAAATTGGTCAATGAAACCAAATGATACGACGACATCAGTAAATATGGCAAAGGCATATCATACTGATGACTTTGAGCGATTTATTAGCCGATTAGAAAGTAGTGTTTAGTTATAAAAAAACAATTAACAATAAAATGTAGTAAAATGACAGTGGAATAACAGCTTTGATATTATATATATATATATATATATATATATATATATATATATATATATATCTTCGTCTTTTCTCCTAAGTAACCACGCTCAGACACCACACATCACAATTAAGCCAAAGTCCTCATGTTTCCAAGTACTATAATAACCTCATTACACAGTGAATGATATGAGCGTTCTTACAAATAATATATATGTGCAAAACAGCTGAAGAAAACCGAGGCGATCCAGTATGTTGTTACAGGTATAAGGGCAGTTTTTACTTCCCAGTTGTTCAGATCATGGAAGGATATCTCTTCATAAGGTAACTGAAAAGTCAACTGGGTTAGGAGTGATCTTGGTGACCTGAGGACATGATGGCAGAGCTAGGGCGATAAATGCTCAAGGCCAGCAAAACGCAGTTTTCTCCAAGTGGTTTTTGATGTCCGTTCAGCATTTTTTTAGGGCTTACCGCAGGGGCCGAGACTCCATAGGGTAAGTTGCGATGTCTATCTATTCTAACCCTTTTTTCTGTTGTGGGAAGCCAGAATCGCTGCAGGTGCTAATTTTTGAGAGGAAACATTTTACTACAGTTACACCTCAGCACAATCAGTAGGACAAGTTCACACTTGGATCATGAGTTCGCTGCTCTGAATCTTGGTGCTCGTTATCTGATGCGCCTGGGATAGAAGAACAGATATTCCAGCCTATATAACTCAAGTGGGTTATCGCGACATGCTATTCTGACCACCACGTCAAGGTAGCAGTTATAGTCAGGATTGTAAAGTGTTAGTGATAATTTAAATCCAGCATAAAAATGAGACGGACAAAAATTTATAAGTAGTTTGACTTACTTTTGATTTTCGATGAAAAGTTTGACCAGAATTTTTTGATTTTAATGGACTCTTTGATTTATTATATTTTTGATGAGATGATTCACTTATTGAACTAGGATAACTACTACTATTAGTTGGAGAATTAGAACGTGCTCTTATGGGTAAAGGAAGACGTTTCGAATTCGACTTTCTATTTGATACATCCATAGGCAAAACACATGAATCTTGATCGATTTTTTTCATATGTGAATTAGATTCGGTAAATTTAACTGAACGATATCTTTTCGATTCACTGGGAATATGTTCGACAAGTGATGATGTTGAGTGATTATTATTGCTATCTATTTCAGGATTTGAAGAATCTTCCAAGCTTAATGCATCAATACCTTGATCTACTGATAAGATTGATGGCATTTGATAGCTGGTACTAGCAATAGCGCAAGTTTCATTATGAATGAGCTTTATTGACGAATTTAGAAATGATGAGATTTTTGAAGGTTTTTCATTGATATCATGTATTTGTTGAAATCGATTTGGAATATTACGAAATGTTGGAGCCGTTAATCTTGACTGATTAACACCTAAACGTTTTAACTCTTGGTCATATTGTTCATGAATAAGTGTCCTTTGAAAAAAATCGCAATAATAATAATAATAATAATAATAATAACACCATATCACCGGCTAACATGAAAAAATTAATAAAAGTAGTCTCATACATGATCTATTTGATAAGTTCAGAACACGAGCTGAGTATATTTATTTTTCCTATTTACACAATTATATCAAATTATATTTTGAGAACAATTGGTGCATAAAAGAGTCTTAATGATTCTAAAAAGGTGGCCTTGAACTGATGCTTCTGAGTTCCATCAACAATCGAGTTTGAAGAACACGTAGAACAACGACTCAATATCTAATTTCTGTGAAAAGTGGAGACTACCAGAGAATGTTAAGTGGTATTTATCGGGAAAACACAAAGAAAATAGCTTTGTTCTAGTGGTTTAACTTCCACTGCGGACGGTTATGACTTCGAGAAAGGTTCAGAACCACGATGTTGATGGAAAAATAGAATATATGCAATCTCTTGTGATTTCTGATTCACTATTCGCGTGAATTAAGTTTATATAAACTTTTAGTAAACATTATTCGAATGAAACATTTAGGATTGATAAAACTATGTGTAACGAGGCATTTGAAGAGCTCGAATTTTAAGAAATTCCATGATTGCTCTAAACAATGAGAATGAAGACAAAACAATTGAGGTTTTACAAACGGAGAGCACCTTTAGGAAGATAAGATTGATGTTCATTTTGTCTACCTAGAAATTTATAAAATCAAGTTTTTTTTATCTCATTTCATGTATTTATCGAATAATCCATATAAACAATATATCTATCAAATGGTGGCAACTTAAAGATTTTTAACTTATTTATAGAATAAAATGTGTAATTCAAGATAAAACAAGCTATAATATTTAGACAGATAGAGATATTTGATTGAGATCATGAATAATCAATGTCAGACCAGCATTGAAAACCTGAAAGCACCGGACGGCCGTTTTGTCCTTGTATGGGGCTAATCAGCAGTGAGCATTCACGATCCCGTACGCAGGATTCGAACCCAAGACCTTCGGTAAACGTTAAAAAATTATTCCAAATATTGAAAATTCATTCACACAGTCTGACCTTAGTATAGTAATCTATCTTTGTTTGACTATCGAAAAATGGGAATTGTAGTTTTTTAAAAGTAATAACTATCTCTTATAATTATCCATTCGAATTCATTATCTATTTCTATTAAGTTTCCATGGGTTTTTACCCTCACTTTTTCTGAATGACAATGTTTCCTCTAAGATTCTGTACTAATGATATTAATTTAGATCTTCAAAATGAATTAAATATCAAATACTAAGTTGTACTTGGTTTGACTATAGTTGGTATACTCAGACTCTGTGGTTCCATAGTATATTTGAAAAGTTTATCTGTAGCCATAATAAATTTTACGGAAGTCATCAGTTTAAAATTTGGTCCTGATTAAACTTTATTATTATTATCATTATCCGTAAATACTAAAAATTATTACTCATGAAGTATCTGTAAGTAAATGAGAATAAGTTATCAATTATTGAATAGTGAAACTCAATAAACATGTCAGCATTCATATATGATCTATACTTTAAAATGATATTTATTGTATGATAGCTAGATTGATGACTATGACTAGCTAACCGACTAACTGAAGAGACTAATATCTGAGTGTGACAGTTGAATAGTCGGTGATTCAAGGACTCCTATGAATGAAACAAAACATAGCAAATCTAAAAATCAACTGAAAAATCAAACGTACAACTTAACTTGTAATTCCAAAATGTAACTTTCCAGACTCGCAGTCGTCTCTTTATAACAGTTTAATTGTTCTTTATATTTATTTAACTGGGTAAACTGTTTTTGAATCAATTCTTCATGATAATGCTGAAAAAAAGAAGGTCGTGATTGATGCAACGGGCAGAAGTGAAGTTTGGGGATTTCTATTTTTATTTAGAATAAGTAATTTGTTATCTAATAAGTTATACAGTCTTGGGGTTAGCTTCCTCTACACAGTGATATGAGCTACAGAAATACTGAAAACCATTGAGAGCCGGTTACATGCTTCAGCATAGAGTAAAGGACTCATTGAAAATATGTACCTATGACTCTATACGACATTTAACCCAGCACCTTTGAATCACTGAGTCGGATTCCAAATCGTCGATTACATTTTTAACTGCACTATCATTATTAAGTGCCATCATCATAGATATCTACCTCAATGCGATAAAAAATAGTAGTTTTATTTATCTCAGACACATTATTTGCCAATCTACTGAACCGTTTAAAAAAGTTACTAATTGACAGAATTAAAATTTGCTAACAAAAGACGAGAATTCTTAAGATAACTAAAGACCTTATATTTTTAAGCCACAAAATAGGTGGTTACGCAGAAGTTAAAGAACTTAAATTTCAATTGATGTGTTAAAATTTCTAACGCAAACGTATTTATAAAAAAATATGTCCAAAGAGGTAATATTAGTAACCCCATAATCCAGTGAATATGAAGTATATACAACTGTAGATGATCGTGTACCCATCTACTGACTATATGGCTTATGATGACTAAAAGAATTTTCATCACACACTTGCCTATCGAAAATAAGACACTGTTCATTTTAAATTAGACAATAAATTATACATGTAAAACACACGTTTTGACTAAGACAAATGTTTTCAGTTTTATAACTTGGAAATGTGAACCATTACTGAGTCCAAAACTCAATGGTTTAAAGGCAAGGGCATGGGTTCATATTACTCAAGAGTCCCATGTCAGAATGAAATCTGTGTTCAGTGACCTCTAGGTAAAGTCAATTAATGATATGATCTACAAAAACCATCCGTTTCGTAAACCCTAAACTAACCTGAATGTCAAATTATTAATTGCACACATACACAAAGACGAAAAATAAATCAAGTCAACTAGAGAACAGTACAAATTTGAAATATATGGCAATATTGTAGAGTATTACAAGCTGGATAAAACCTTTGAAACAAAAGTCTCAGGGTAAACACCAACACTAAAGCCGAATAACTTAATCCAAAAAAATCAGATACCAATAACCAGAAGTAGACTGATACAAATATAAACTGTGAACAAGAAATGGAATAATTCTACAATATAAAAGTGTCTTACATGAACTGTATCAAAAGGTGTCTGTTTTCACTCTTACATAGACTGGACACGCATCAAAAATTTTATTTGACATAGTAAGATATGACAATAACACAACTCATTCATTAGGTATGAATTCTCACGCTTTGACCTGAACCAGACGTTGGGCATAAGATTTGTTTAAAGTGAAGTAGGAGATGCATAACTGAAACCTATTGGTTTAAAGCCCGATACTTTAGGCAGCAAGCTGCTGCTCCACAATTCGCTGTCAGCATTTAGTTTATTGGGTCAAAGAAAACAAAATAAAAGTTATGATTTATTACAACACCTATACTTATGTTTAGTTTATGGCGAGTTTTAATATAAAACTACTAATGTGCATTTTTAAAGTACGTGGTTTAAATTCTAAATATTCACTTAAAACAAATTTCTAACATTTTCACTAAGAAAATAACTTTATCAGAGTGTATTAAACTAATATCATTTAAAAGAACGGGCAAACATAGAATAAGATTAACAAATTTACTTTAATTAAGCTTTTAAAATTAGTAAAACAATTATGCATGGGAAGTTAAAGTTATTTAACAAAATTATAACCTACAGTTTGAGTAAAAAAACTATTAAAAACAGTGGGTCTTGTTAAATGTATTAATTGATATTTCCTAGGTTTGAAAATTAGAAAGTGACTTTGCACGCAAACTTTGAAAATAAGTCTTATATGTCAACTAGTTTTCTCCTTTTGACCATTTTTTATTTATGTAAATAGACTAACATTGGTACAAAGGGGCACCAAAATATATGTGCGCGATAGAAATTAGTTATTATTCAATTAAAGCATGAGGTGAGAAGCCGTCCAGGTGCCCAAACCGAACACAGATGGTCTTTCTAGAGGGCCACTCCCCTAGCTTTCGACCTAGGGGTCCAATCCGCAAGGCATTGGAGCAACGTTAAGAGATCCAGTCCATGGTAGCCGAGGACTAACAATAGGTTCGTATACCATTTGTTCCATCACGATCCTGAGGTCTATGTGGATCACAGGTTTGGATTCAGTGATTTCCAACTATCCTACGTGAACCCTCGTTAACCACTAACCCGGTTAGAGCGTCGGACATTCTCCTTCCGTCTACTCCATTTCGTAATTAACACCCCCGCCGCGAGAAGGCAGTCAGCAGGTTTTCCCTAGCAGTGACAATATACGCCTGGTTTGAGCTGTTGTAGAAGACTTTTAGATTAGGCGAATAATTTCTGTAGAATTTCTTTCTAAGCTGATTGGTTTAGTCGTAAATCTGTCAACGACCAAAGCTTCACGAATAGGAAACCACACAGCCCAGAAAACGAATGTCCATCCAAATTGTAATTTTAGTACTTTTAAATTAAAAACCAAGACAATGAAATGGATGGAATTTAATAGTTACTGATCGTACTGATAAGTTTTGACTTATAGTAGTGGTTAATTTAACTATTGAGGATACTTGACAAAACTATGCTCCTAGCTGAAAAATATGCTGTTTACTATCATATTATTTCACGAAAACTAGTCAAAGAATGGTAAAAAGTAGAAGTCTACAACTCACACTTAAGCAATAAAAATATGTGGGAGTTGTAAAAAGAAAAGATTAGTTCCGTAGTATTTCTAAAGAACTTGTAACGATTCCCAAAGCTTTTTAAGTATTAAGTGTAACGTTTACCTTGGCTTTGATTTCGCATAAAATCAACCGATTACACTTTTATTCAGTTCCGGGTCGATATACCAGTATTCATTAAAGTGAAACTATGTTTTTGAAAATGGAAAAAGCGGTCTTACCAGTTGTTCTAAGGAATAAACTTGATTTTGTTTTAATTTCTCAAATCCATAGCGCCACATACATCTCGATTTTCTATCCTCAGTATTCTCGTTTCGACACTCACAAATTGCACTAAGTTTTGTTTCTAAACTGAAAAAAGTAATGAATAAATTCTTAATCGTAGAGTAACTTTGGATAATATTAAAGTCATCTAAATTTAAAACATACCTCTGCTTGAACAAAAGAAAAGGCGAGAAATCAATTGGAGGAACACAATAGGAATATTCCACGAGTTCAGTTTTAAAGTCCAAACTAGTTCACTATGATAAGCCAAGTTTGAATTCTTACTTAAACTGTACATTTTCCAATCCTACGAGAGAAGCAATTAGATTAAATATTTCTTCCGAACGGAAGATAGCATTCCGGGAATAATATTTCCTAGAAAAGTAATTTCAAGAGGATAAAGATAGTAATACTAAAAGTAATACAACAAAATTATAAAAATGGTCGTGAATTTTTTTTCACAGAACTAGTAGTAGCCATAGAAAGCAGGAAATAATTTACACAACGGGGGAAAAAATAGTAATAGAACAACTTAGTTTGCTTGATTGTGAACCAAAGTTATTGTGTTACTGAAGTAAAACCAAATGAACAATGGTTTTAACCTGAAACTTAGTAAATGAGTCTGGTACCCCTAAGCACGACGAAAAGGAAACCACACTATGACAAGCAGTACTGTGTAATGCATCGAATTGAATTACAAGTACGTATTAAGTGTCTAAAGGTTCAGAATGGACTGCGATAGAAAAAGCTTACCATTTACCTTCCCCTATATACTAATTGGCACTATTGTTTCATACATAACATATTTTCTGAAATGGCAGACAATGCCAGACAGATTCTGGAATAAAGCTAATCCAATCGAGGTTTTCAATAGCTTGCAATCAAACGACGTTATCGATGACCCTACTTCTAAGTTAACCCAGTTTATATATGATACATTAAAGTCGCCTACTACAAGGCTTTTACCCTTGTTACACCAGAACTTAAGTTTACTTAGAAGAAAATCATCTGCTACACATTCTGGACTGCGATATACTACAACTAATTCAATATCTTGCCGTCGGCATTTCAACTTACATCGCACCAGTTCACATGTCCCTGAAACATGTGCCAGTCTCAGCTAATCTTATGGTTAGGGTACTTTTCGTGTACAGGATAACCCCGCCTCTCCTTCGGTTTAATCTATCAGCCCTACTGGTTATGAAACCAGTCAACTGGATTTCGCTATCTTATACTTCTGACGTTAACCAAGTTTCCGAGACAGCAATAACATCTGATGTTTCTTTATCCACCATTGACTTGAAGTGACCCAATGAAGCCTTCAAGACACTCTCAGGATGAAATTATTCGGCAGAAATTCGGTTCTTCATGCGAGTACATATTTGAATCAGGCGAGGTGAAGCTATGTACTTTATCAGGTTTCTAGATATTCAGATTTACAAAGTAGGTGGAGAGTTTTGAGAGTAGCAAAAAGCATTTGCCAATTATCCAACTCGAGATAGTTTTCATTGTGAACAAAATTTTAATGCAAAATATACATCCGTTAATTTACATGACACGACTTACGTCAAATTGGGCTTCAGTTGAACTAAATCTAGCATTGCAGAGTGCAGACAACACCTAACAATAGACAGTTTGATCCAAGCTCGAAGCTGGAACGTTGCAAGATTAAAGAAGCTGATACCTTTGAAAAATCACTCTTGAGATGATCAAGAAGTTTCACTGAAGAAGTATGTGAAAAACTGGGTAAATTAGATAATTGAAGTATGAGACACCAAGGGTGCTTTGAGACTTTCTTCCCAACCAGAAAATTGTAAGCTGAGCATTACGAAATCCAAAAACCTACATTTTAAACCATGGTAGAATAAATTTTCTAAAACTGCAAGAAAATTCTGAACATCCGGGAAACTTTCATCTGGTATTCGATGGACGGAAGACTCGATTTGCGACTTTATTACTAATCTATACAGAAAAATCTACTTAAAAATGTGTAACTCATTACTCAGCCACTTGAAGTAAACTTTTTCTTGTGATTCTGTGTGGACTAGGACGGACTACATCCATAAACACGAACAGGTGATCAGAAGGCTGACCTTGAGTTGAAATTCTCAGTCATTTAAAATCCAATAGATTTCAGATTCAGATTTGTGTAGTAAGGACGGAAGGCCGACGGCCTATGTTATTCCTTTTCTGGTATGCTTCTGTGAGTGTCCAGTCTTCTCTTGAAAGCGTCAATTGAAGGTGCGGACACCACTGCTTCAGGCAGCAGGTTCCAAGTTCAAATGGTTCAAATGGTTGTGGACGGAATAGAGGAAGCTTTCGCTTAACAGGCTTCCGTGTCTAGTAGCAGGGGATCACCAAATCCTCCAGGCAGGAACCTAGGTATGTTAACAAAAAAAGAGGAAAAGAAATTGGTAAATCATAGTGTGATGCTGTCCTTGGTCCTTAAGAATAGGTCAAGTTGCCTCTTGAAGGACTCCTGAGAAGTCGCTTGGACTAGCTCGGCCGGCAGCGAATTCCAGCATTTGACAACTCTTATGGAGTAGAAGTTGTGTCTACAGTCCGTTCTGCTATGTTGTGTCTCCAATTTCTGGGCGTTGCCCCTTAGATTGATATTGGGACTAAGCTTAAGTAGGTGTTTAAGAGGATGTCCAGAAGTGTTAAGAATACTATAAGCCATTAATAAATCACCTCTAAGACGCCTATACTCTAATGGGTAAAGGTCTAGTGAATGGAGGCGTTCTTCGTAAGGTTTAGATTTGAGTCCTCGAACTGATTTCGTGGCTCGTCGTTGGATACGCTCCAAAGTGACCTTGCTCTTTTGGAGTGAGGGAGGAGTACTATGTTTCCGTACTCTAAATGGGGACGGATGAAACTATTGAAGATTGTATGGAAAGTTCGTCCGTCAAACTGTCCAAAAATGCGCCTCAACGTTACCAGTGCAAGGTTTGCTCGGAAGGCGTTTTTGTCACAGTTAGCGTATGACTTTGAATCATGAGGCACCAGGACTCCTAAATCTTTTTCGACTTGGGATACTACTAGAGAGGAGTTTCCTAGGTTGTAACTGTAGTTTGCAACATGTCGCAGATGGACTACTTTACACTTAGAAGTGTTAAAGGTAAGTCCGTTATCGTCTGGCTCGGTGAGAAAACCTGTATGCCACGGGTATTTTGTTCGTTCTTGGCTTTTCTACTCGCCTGCTATGTCCTCTGAGATGTCCCGATCTAGTGGGAAGAAAGAGAGAGAATAAGTTAGGTCCGAAATCATTTCTCAGTATTCTGTACATCAAAATTAGATCTCCCCTTAGTCTGCGATAGGACAGAGTAAGGAGGTCCAATTTTTCAAGCCGCTCTTTGTATGAAAAACCCCGGAGTTCCGGAATTGCACGGGTAGCTGCTCTCTGTACTTTTTCTAGTATGTATGAGTCACCTTTTAAGCAGGGGTTTGCAGCCTGAACGCAGTTCTCTAGCTCAGTTCTCACTAAGGATGTGTATATTGTGGTGAACATAGTAGTATCTAACTTAGTGACTGTCCTTTTTAAAGCCCAGAGGGTTCGAAACCCCTTGGCTGCAACCGCCCGGCAATGGGCCGTCGTCTTAAGATCATTACTCACTGTCACTCCTAGATCCTTATGAGACCGGACTACTGGTAATGACACATCCCCTATGTTGTACTTATTAACCATTGAATCCCCCAAGTGCATGTAGACACACTTTTCCGAGTTGATAGGCATCAGCCACTCCTTAGACCAGTTTATCATATTATTTAAGTCTACCTGAAGAGTAAATGCGTCTTTGTCTCCAGTTACTACTCGCCAAATTTTTACATCATCAGCGTATAATAACATTGGAGACTGTACTACACTTGTAAGATCATTAACGTACATTATAAAAAGTAAAGGACCTAGGACGGAACCTTGTGGTACTCCACTAAGTACTGGTCTCCAGATGGAGTACTTGGAATTTATTCTTACTTTTTGTCTATGACCTACTAGGAGATCTTTAATCCATTTTAAAAGAGGTCCGGCAATACCTAGGTTTTCCAACTTCAATAGCAGTCTATTAGTTGGCACCTTGTCAAAAGCCTTACTGAAATCCATGTAGACAACAGCCACTGAGCTTCCGTTGTCTAGTGCATTAATCTAGAACTCCCTAGCTAAAAGGAGGTTCGTTGCACAGGATAGACCCTTTCTAAAACCATGTTGTGCCATCTTCAGCAAGTTATTGGTTTCCATATATGCCGTTATGGTCCGTTTGATTATTCTTTCTAGTATTTTAATTACAACGCTAATGAGACTTACGGGTCTATAATTCGATGGAACTTGTCGTGGACCTGTTTTATGTATGGGAGTGAGGTTTGCGTCCTTCCAGTCCATAGGTAACACACCTTGGTCAAGTGACATTTTGAATATCACATCCAGTGGGGCCGCGATATATTGGGCAATATGTCTCGAGATTTTGGGGTGTAGTTCATCTGGTCCTGTTGACTTCTCCATCCTTAGGGTGCTAAGAGTCTTGAGGACACCGTTTTGGTCGAATTCCACGGTGAGCATCTGGTTTGTTGACTCTGTATTTGGGTCTGGTTCTTTCTCTAGAGGAGGTTCCTGAGTGAAAACTGCCCCAAAATAGTCAGCCATAACCTCTGCTTTTTCCTGATCTTCTTCTATCATTTCAGATTCACTTCCTAATTTAATTAGGTTTATGTACGAGAATATTCTCTTGGGCTGCTTGAGTGCAGATTGTGCCAGCTGCATTTCATATTTTCTTTGAGCTTCCCGAATTTTTGTTATACACTCGTTTCTTATCGATCTGTAGCGTTCCATCGTACTTGCTGTGCCGAGGCGGATGGCAACATCCCAGCACTTTTACTTTTGTCTTAGTAAGCGTCGAATATCCTGCCCTATCCAGGGGTGTCCGTGCTTCTTTTTCATTGTGACAGTCCAGGCTATGTATGGTTGATTTACCCGATTGTATAACTGCCTGAATAGAGTCCATGCCTCTTGTACTGATGCCTTTGAGTCAATTTCCAAGTTCTCAGCCGATGCTGCGGAATTAATTGCCTGCATATCTGCCTTCCATATGTTAGGACGGGCCGGTGCAACTGTTTGACAGGCAATCCCAGCCAGGAATTTGGATAAGATGACTGCATGGTCACTTCTCCCAAGTGGTGGGAGAAAAGCCATTTGACCAACGTCATCACCGTGTGTGAAGACTAAATCTAAAAGAGAAGAAGAGTTTCTTAAGTCGTATTTTGTGGGATCTCTAATGTGTTGGAATAATGCTAGTCCAATCGAGGTTTTCAATAGCTTGCAATCAAACGACGTTATCGATGACCCTACTTCTAAGTTAACCCAGTTTATATATGATACATTAAAGTCGCCTACTACAAGGCTTTTACCCTTGTTACACCAGAACTTAAGTTTACTTAGAAGAAAATCATCTGCTACACATTCTGGACTGCGATATACTACAACTAATTCAATATCTTGCCGTCGGCATTTCAACTTACATCGCACCAGTTCACATGTCCCTGAAACATGTGCCAGTCTCAGCTAATCTTATGGTTAGGGTACTTTTCGTGTACAGGATAACCCCGCCTCTCCTTCGGTTTAATCTATCAGCCCTACTGGTTATGAAACCAGTCAACTGGATTTCGCTATCTTATACTTCTGACGTTAACCAAGTTTCCGAGACAGCAATAACATCTGATGTTTCTTCATCCACCACTGACTTGAGCTCCGCCATTTTATTTAGAAGGCTGCGAGCATTTTTGTAGCATACCTTTAAGTCTGTGGAGAGCTTTCCCTTGCCACCCAGAGTGGCTTGGGAATCATTTTGCTCCGAATTTTTACAATTTGAAAACCCTTAAGAACGAGGTTTCTTTCACCGTTTTGTCGACGCTCATTTATTTCCGCTTCTGCAGCTCTTCTCTTAATACGATCAGCTAGGCTGAGATCCTCACGGACATATATTCGGATCCAATCAGTTTACGTGAATTACTTAGAATCAGGTTCCTTTCTTCCACCGTGTTGAATGTAACCTTTAGGAGGCGGTTTTTCCTGAGGACTTTCGGAATCCACCTTTTTTCCTATTCTATAAAGCTTACAAATACTGACTCCTGAAACTCTATCTGGGAATAGTTTACTTAATGATATCTTAATATGATTGAGATCGTGTTCAAATCTTGCCTTTCGTTCTGTATTTGAAGATTCTCTTATCTTATGAAAAATGACTGATCTCTCAGAGAGATCTGTCTTGTCACGCAGTGAGGATTTTTCTTCTGATAACATCCCTTCCAACACCTTGCTGACCAGCTGCGTTTAGCCCACAGCCTTTTTCTTCCCAATTCTTTTTCTCCTTACTGAAGTCCATTTGTCAGCACTCAGGAGAGCCACACCTGAACTATGTGGAACGGTGACAGTTTTATCCGGATCTTCTATTTCGACTAGAGGTGTATGACTGCCGATGTCAATATCAAGCAACACTTCATTCCTCGTTAATGTCAACGGAGATTTCACGTTCCCGTCAATCACAGTCAGGTGTTTAACGGATCCAGTAGCAGTACTTACTACACTGACACATTCTTCACCATCAGCGCTCTTGTTATCAGTGCTTCCGCCATCGTTTTTCGTGCAGGCCAAAGCCAATAGGCCCATAGCCTCCTGAATTAGTACCTTTTTATCCGTACATCAGAACATACAAAGCCAATGAGAGTTATGTTTCGAGCATCTTTTGTAAACCGTCGGACTTAGTCGTGTACACATCTTGTGGTACCACCTTTTACAATCGTCACACTGTATTCCCTCCTCAACGGGGAACAAACAATTTGGTTGCCCACATTTGTGAGTCATACCAATCATTGTTATTCGATTTAAAAGGTTTAAAAACACAAAAGTATCACAATGTGAACACAAGTGTTAGTCAAGGAGTAAAAACAGGTGCTCAGGACAAAATTTACCAAAAAATTTCAAACTTTAACCAAAGTACTTTTAGATATAGACCAAGAATGCTTTTTAGTGCAATAAGTACCCAAAGCAAGTATAATCACAACAGGTACAAAAATCA